GAGCAGGGAAGGAAGAGGATGAGTCTACATGTGAAATCAGTGGAGAGGGAGAGAGGAAGGGTCTGGGACAGGAGCAAGGTTAGAGCAGGTATAGGATATTGTGTGGGGGGAGAAAGGCAAGGTCAATGGGAGGGCATTAACCCTTAAGCTGGGGCTTGCTATGCGAGTCGGTCATGGACTGCGTGGCCTTGCGGATCTGGCGTTATGTCCCAGGGGGTGTTTTAGGGAACAGATGACTTGCTGAGACAAAACCCCCCTTTTCTGTTCATATTGTTGGAATGGAGTTCAATCTCAGTGGCTTCCTTAATGATGCGATCCATATACCGGGTCTTGGTGGCAAGGATGGAGGTATTCTGAAGTTGAATGCGGAGTCCCAAATTGATGCTGTGTTCAGCTACAGCTGACTTGTCCAGATGTTCAAAACAGATGTGCTGCTGATGCTCCTTCAACCTTGTGTCCATGTAGCAGCCTGTCTGCCCAATATAGACCTTGCCGCACTCACATAAGATGCTGTATACACCCAGTGTCCTTAGTCCCAGGCTATCTTTGACCACCTGGAGGAAACTGGATAATTTGTTTGGAGGCAGACTCACTGATTGATGACAGGACTCTGCTGGTACGGTTGAATATAGTCCCAACATAGGGCAGGAAGGTGGCTGAGCCCAGTTTATCTTCAGGCCGGCTGATGTTGGGCAGACGGTTGTATCCGTTCTTCCTGAATACATCCCCCAGGAGCACCAACTCCGCATCTAGGCTGTCTTGATCACAAAGAGCTCTAGCCCAGTGCACCAATGTGGAAAGTGCAGCTTGCTTGTTGGAAGGGTGGTGGTGGTGGTACACAGCATTAAGGTAGAGGTTTATATGGGTGGATTCATGGTACACTCTATGGCCCAGAGAACCATTGGGTCTCCTGTAAATATCTATATCCAGGAAGGGCGGTGACCCTCAATTTCACTCTCCATTGTGAACTGAATGCACTGGTGGATACTGTTTAGATGGTTCAGGAAATCCTTAAGCTTGTCGGGCCCGTGTGGCCAGATGACGAAGGTGTCATCCACGTAGCAAAACCAGCAATGGCGCTTCAAAAAAAAACTACATTATAATCAGTCAATTGAAACTTGTAATAACAGAATAAAAACTTTTTGGAATATCATAAGAAATGTATTTCGTAAGTCTACTAGAAACAATCATGTGCCTTCTTCGTTTAAAATGGCTAATATGAATTTTCAGTTTAAAAGTGCAGCTGATATTTTCAGTGAGTATTTTCTGAATATAGCAGATAATTTATAAACACACATTGATAATAGTAATTCACCTCTTGAATTATTAAAGAATGCTTATCAGACTCTTTTTCCGAGCATGAAAGTTATTCCTGTAACTAGGGGAGAAATTATTGGTATAGTTTGTTCCCTAAAATCAAAGAAGTCTTCTGGCTATGATGGTATTATGTCAAAAATATTAAAATTGTGTAGCCTGGCTATACGTGAGCCCTTCTCTTATATTTGCAACATGTCTGTTATGACTGGTGTATTTCCTTATCATTTGAAGTATGCAGTTATAAAGCCTTTATATAAAAACGGTGATAAAGCTGATGTAAGAAACTATAGACCTATTTCTGTGTTGACTGTATTTAGTAAAGTTTTAGAAAAAAACTATGTATCATAGATTAAATCAGCATCTACAACTGAATAATATAGTGGTGCAAGAACAGTTTGGTTTTAGGAAAACTTATCGCTGGTCATGCTGCTTTTTCACTTACCATTGACATACTTCAAGCCTGGAGTGATAAACTTCTAATTGTAGTGATTTTTTGTGACTTTGCCAAGGCATTTGACTGTGTTATTCATGAGATATTGATATCCAGATTAGAATATTATGGTGGTCATGATTGTAATTTAAATTGGTTCAAATCCTCTCTATCAGATAGAAAATGGGGGCATGGGATAGCATAGTTGGTTGAGGGGCTATGCTACAAGCCGGAAGGTCACGGGTTCAAGTCCTGATGAGGTCACTGGATTTTTTTCAGTTGCCCTAATCCTTTCAACCACACTATGACCCTGGGTTTGACTCAGCCTCTAACAGAAATGAGTACCAGGAATTAATTAAATAATTTTCCTGGGGAGTAAAGCGCGGCTGGCGCATAAGGCTGATAACCTTACCGCCAACTTTGAGCCGATTGTCTAGATAATGTAGGACCCTCAACGTCTCACAATCCTATGGGCCTTCATGGCCTGTTACAGGGATAGCTTTTCTTTTTTTTTTTTTTAATCATATAGAAAACAGAGTGCATCGCAGAATTGACGATCATGATATTTTCATTTCATGCATCCTGTTGTGTTACAATATACAACCTCATTTATTAACCATCACAACACAACAAATATCAAGGTCAGTGCACAGCCACGGCTCTGCTACATGTTTCGGCTATCAGTAGCCATCATCAGGCAAATACATGGTTAAACATATATACATTCCCTAAGGTACGGACAATACTTTGTAAGATGAGGCACCGACTAAACAGTTAACATTTACTACATCTACAACACGAGCCTCCTATACAATCTTATATACAAAATAAAAATATAGAATATTCCAATTTGTCCGTGGGAATGTACAAAATTACAAAACCAACGACTGATTCAGTGTTATAAAACATCAATTAAAATTTTATTCTTGTTTTATACTATAACTTCTGTTTTATATAATCTGATTTACTGTATTTTTTACATCAAGTGTTTTATATGATTAATAGTATTGTATCCAGTTTAATAGTACTGCAGTTCAGTGGTGTATATATGTTAGCCATGTATTTGCCTGTTGATGGCTTCTGATAGCTGAAACATGTGGCAGAGCTGTAGCTAGGCACTGACCTTGATATTTGTTGTGTTGTGACAGTTAATAAATGAGGTTGTATGATCATGATTATTTCTCCAAATGGAAAATAGTTAAGCAAGGAATTCCTCAGGGGTCAGTCTTAGAATCACTTCTGTTTATTATGTATATTAATGACTTGCCTTTATATATCAATAAATTTTCCAGACTTTTTCTCTTTGCGGATGACATTAGTATTTTGGTCACTGGAAAGAAGCATTGTGCACTTAAGTACAAAGTTGCGGATACCTTGTCTCTCATTGTAAATTAGTTTATAGCGAACAAGTTGGTCTTAAATATTAACAAAATATATTATTAATTTTGCTCTTAAACAGTCTGCCAACTCTTTGCTGGCAGTATCCTTTGGAAATGTGGTAATGAATGAAGTCCCTGAAATAAAATTTTTGGGTATACAAATTGATAATAAACTGAATTGGAAGAGTCATGTGAATACATCCTTCCTAAACTCAGTTCTGCTATTTTTGTAATTAGGAGTTTATCTCATTTTATGAATTTAAAATCCCTGCGAATGGTGTATTTTTCTTACTTTCATTCTATCATTAAGTATGGAATAGTCCTCTGGGGCAATTCAACTAATAATTCCAGAGTTTTTAAATTACAAAAGAAAGTAATAAGGACCATATTGGGAGTGCGACCCAGAGACTCTTGTAGAAGCCTTTTTAAGAAATTAGATATTTTACCATTGTCATGTGAATATATTTTTTCTTTCATGTTGTTTATGATAGACAATCAAAATAATTTCTGAAGAAAGCAGTCTTCTGGGATTTGGTACCGTGTATATGTGGTGTTGACCGACGTTTCGGAGGAACGTATCGCCTCCATCTTCAGGGTAGAAGGAAAAATATAAGAAATCTGCAGGCGAAGAGACTGTGAGAACCAGTACAAGCAGACTGGTGTTGGAAATATACACAGCTATGTGTGAGCAGTGAAGGAAAGGGAGAAGGTCAAGTCTACATGTGAAATCAGTGGAGTGGTGGGGGGGAAGGAGCTGGGACAGAAGCAGGGTTTTGTGTTGGAGGAGAGAAAGGCAAGGTTAAAGGATGGGCACTAACCCTTAAGCTGGGGGGTGGGGGTTGTTATGTTAGTTGGTCATGGCCTGAATGTGCTTTTAGTCCACAAGCGAACTATACCGACTGAGTGACCACCGCTTGTCAGCGAAGTTATTGTCAACTTTAGTGGATACGTAACAGATAATATTTTTTTTAAACAATCTGACAGAGTGCAGATATTGGGGAGCAACTGTAACAGATCAAAATCTAATAATGTTACCCATTTCCCTAAGGTCTGTTTCATGTTCTTGTTCCTCAATTCATCATTTATCATGATGTTTCCCTGATAGAGTAATGCAATCATTATTTCTCTCATGCGTGTTACATTGCCATCCCATCTCAGCCCATAATTTATCCCTTTTCAACAAATATTCCAGGGGTTTTCATGCTGGTTTGTGCATTGGTATATGTCATAATGTTTATCAACACACATTCATTTGTTTGTGGCGTTGTCAGAAAATATAATAAATCGTCAAACACTATTCAGATTTTTATTTGGAGAACTTCTGAGAAATGAATGCATGTTGATTGTAGCAGTACCAGATATTATATGTGAATCTTATTGATGGTACACAAGTAATGTCTATGAAATTTATATCCACTCACATTCTGTATTAGGGTGAATTTAAATGTTGTGCAGTCATACACCTTCCGTGAAAGAGGGTTAAGGATGGCCACACACCCACTGCATCAAGACAAGCATCAAGACATGAGACAAAAGACGCAGTCTTGCTTCATTTATGATTCGTCAGCATCATGACTAAGACCCATGTGTGGTGGTTTTCATAATCTCATTTGTTTCAGCTGCGCTTCTTTCTTTGCGTCATGTCACAGACATCATGTCTTGACTGTTACATGTCTTGACACATGCCACGTCTGGTATATATTAATTAATCAGACAGTATTATGTAAACATTACAGATGTTTCCCATTGTTCAGTATTTCCATTCCCTTGTGTACTTCATATCACCTTGGTTCATATGTTATCCTCAGTTGACTGACATTACTAGAAAACATTTGTTAAATGCTTTTATGAATTTTCTTAACAAGATTTTCTAGACATGTCTATAACTATTGTACAAGTGTACATCAACAAATAAACCGTAGTACATCCACCAAATCCAAGAAGGGACAAGTGTCTGGTGGAGCACAGCTTGTAGGTCTGGAGCTCTACAAGAGGCTACGAGATTTCCTGCGCAATTATCTCATCAGCTTACTCAAGGTTAGTGTCATCATCCTTCCTAATAGTAGGTTTATGTAGCATTTTATGAATGTCAAGTACTCCACAGATGTGGGCCTTGATAGTTGCAAGGCCTGTCTGTTATGGAACCCAAAGATATGGTGCCGTGTTTGCATGATACTGTCCTGAAGTAATTGAATCCAGCCCACACACTCAAACACAGTGTCTTTCGGGTCATCCATCATCTCATATGTTAGTTTTTCAGAAGGGAACTTATTATGCTGGGATTGACACCTAACCTTTTCCAATTAAAGATCTGTCCCATAATACAAAACAATTTAAATTGGCTTGAAAGGATGATGATGTATGCTGTACAGAACTATAAGGCTTATTTTGGACTTTATCCATCGTCTGGTATATATAAGACAAAGATGGTGATGGAGACTAGCTCTTTCTAATGGGCCCAACTGAGTAGGTCTATCCTGCCCCATCCACCTGAGGATGGAGACATATCCAGTTTCCGAAACATTGTTGTTTTTTGTCTTATATATACCAGATGATGGATAAAGTCCAAAATAAGCCTTATACTTGTAGTTCTGTACAATTTAAATTGGCCCTGAAAAATTTCTTCTGTTCCCATTCATTTTATATGTTGGACGAGTATTTTAAATACAAGATCAACTAAACTTTTTATACTGCTGTTTATGTGGTATATTGTATGAAAGACTTTCAGTTGATATTTGTATATATTGTATATATTCTCGATTCCAGACACGTTACAATATATTTTTAAGGAATTAGCTTAATAAGGTATTACTGTCTAGTTGATACTGAGAAAATTTGCCCAAGTGTTAACTTTTCTGCATTGTACGTGGTGCAATCCAAAAGTTCTCGAAATATATTAATAAAAACTATTACATCTTACCTAGATCTTATTCTGCACCATCACCTTCAAAGTAGTCCCCTTGGGAGCGCATACACCGATCCCAGCTTTCCTGCCACTTTTCAAATGCAATCTGGAAGTCTTTCTTTGTTAGGGTGTTTAGTATCGTCTGCGTTTCCGCTTGAATTTCCTTAACTGTATCAAATCTTCGCCCCTTCAACTTGATTTTCATCTTGGGGAAGAGAAAGAAGTCGCATGGAGCTAAGTCTGGCGAGTACGGTGGGTGGGGAACAACTGCCATCTTGTTTTTAGCCAAAAATTCCTGCACAGTGTTAGCCATATGCGGTTGTGCGTTGTCATGGTGGAGTACCCAGTCGCTCGTGCACCACTTCTCTGGACGTTTTCTCCTCATGTTCTCCCTCAAATGCCTTAGAACTTCTTGATAGAACTCTTTATTGACTGTCTGACCAGGAGGGACGAACTCCTTATGAACAATCCCGTCAATATAAAAAAAAAACAGATCAACATGGTCTTAATGTTGCTCTTGTCGACCTTTTTTTGGCCGAGGTGAAGAAGGGCTGTTCCATTGCAACGATTGCTGCTTGCTTTCAGGGTCGTAGCCATAAACCCAACTTTCGCATCACCAGTGACAACCTTCAAAAGAAAGTTTGGATCCTCTTGAAGCAGTTGCTGAAGTTCCCTGCAGACTTCCAAGTGATGCTGCTTCTGTTCATTTTGCAGCAGTCATGGCACAAACTTCACCGCAATCCTCCTCATGTTCAGTTCCTCTGACAAAATTCGTTGACATGTACCATAACTTAGTCCCAAAGTGTTACAGAGGTCTTGGATGGCCAGTCTACGATCTTGGAGAATCAGATCCCTAACTTTCGCCACATTTTCTGGTGTTTTGCCCATTGACGGCCGTTCCAAAGGGTCGTCATCATCAGTCAATGTTCGGCCATTTTTAAAACGCTTATACCAGTTGTAAGTTTGTGTCTGGCCTAAACTATTTTCACCAAAAGCTTGCTTCAACATTTGGTGCGTTTCTGCAGCGGTTTTCCAAAGTTTGAAACAAAACTTTATACATACTCGCTGCTCTCTCAGGTCAGCCATCACAAAACTGCAAACTCACGGAAACACAACAATGGAAATATGTTCAACAATAAACCCAACCACTCAACTCAATGCCGCTTGCTACACTGATTCAAGAAGGATGTGTGAGGAGACACCTAGCGGTATTTCGATGTACACATAACCATTCGCATGCAAAATTAAAATTTCGGAAACTTTTGGAAGATAGCTGGCTCAGATCTCAGTCAGGACTTCAGCTATACTGACTGAGACTTTTCTTTGTTTTCCTTAGTCGCTACAGACAGGTGTTCTGATAGTACCTCAGATTAGGTCATGGCTACTTCATTTTTCATCCTTTCCAGTTCATCGTTCATTAAGCAACCCATCATTTGGTTATAAGCTCCAGGGGTTTACTAGATCCCATGCAAATGTAGGAACATCAACATGGGTGAGATGGGTCACTCGATTGAAGAACATTTTGTAAAATCTCCAGCTCTGTCATCTGTAACTGCCATTCTTTATGGTAAAGAAATGTATGGTGACTATCACTGTTTAGTAATTTTATGATGACAAGAAACCTGTGGTATATGATTAACAGTGTATAACAGTTAACAGAATGATAGATATTTTAGTGCTAGGAGATGTGAGTGCAGGAATGTTTAATTCAGTCACCACAAATTAATCACTTCTTAATGTGTATGCCAGATTCAATTATGAATAACTTGTTTACAAGAAGACAGAATCTGCAGTGATCTGTACTACACATGCCTTTTGAAGACAAGTACAGTCAACTCTCGATTATCCGGGATAATGGTGGGGATGGAAACCATGATTAATCGAAAACCCGGTTAAGACAAATTTTATTAAAAGTAGTACTGTAATACTGTACCTTCATAATACTATAGGCCTACCTGTATTTAAATTTATTCAACCTCATTTTTATGTCATCTCATGGCCTGTTTAATACTTTTTTTTACATTACACTGAAGTATGAATTAGTTATTTCAATCACAGTCTTCAACAACATCCAACACTTTTTACGAATATTCACACTTAAAAAAAATTTAATATTGTCGTTTACTTTTTCACGGCATTTTCCTTTTTCTGTTAATATTTAACACAACGCGCTTTTACACCCTGACATTTTGCTAACGCACTTGAAGATCGATACAAAGAGACCAACTGGGGCGGTGTATCTGTCCTTGAAACTTTCCACAAATCCTTGCATTCTTTCACCCCTACCCTAGAACATTGTGTTAGCATAACAGGACCAAAGAATGCAGAGCGCCGTTCACACTAGTGCGAAAATCGTGTTACAACTCACCATGTGAAACAAAAGTGAATGAATATTAAACAACATATAAGCCTCAAAAAAGTCTGAGTAGCCCCGGTTAAGCCGCAAACCAGTTAATCCGCCCCTGGATAATCGAGAGTTGACTGTATCATATCTCTCTCAGTTTCTGACATTCTTGCAAACCAGTGACCACCATGCATGAAATCACAGAGTATTGTACATAGGGTTGTGACATCAGATCTGTTGTGGGAGGTGAATCAGAAGGGACTGAATAGGTATCTGCTGTGTAATGAAACAGAGTTTATCTCCTCTGTTGCTCTACAAAATGTAAAGATTATGTAAGATTTGAGGCTTTCACGGTGGTGACTGTGAAGAAAGCAGTCTGCTTTTACCGGTTCTCACTGTCTCTTCGCTTGCAGATTTCTTATATTTTTCTTTCTACCCTGAAGATGGAGGCAATACGTTCCTCCGAAACGTCGGTTAACACCACATATACATGGTGCCAAATCCCAGAAGACTGCTTTCTTCATGTAAAGAGTAGTTAGTGTATTAAGAGCAGTGAAATGTTATAAAGAAAGGACTGCCAAAACAGAGCTATTAGTGTGACAGTCAGAGAGCAGACCACTCTCACAAAAAGAAGTTTAGTGTGACAGAGAGCAGACCACTCTCACAAAAAGAAGTTTAAATACACCCATCAAAGCAAACAACCTGACTGTATTTGTGCAAATTTACAAATTTCTGAACTTTGTTAAATAGGATATAGTTGTGCAACAAATGGTAGTTTTGTTTTTAAATTGTAATTTTTATATACATGGATTTTGTCATAAGACCAGCAATTTGTTATTGTTTTACCAAAAGTTTGTTATCTTTCTTGGCTTTATCTTTGCTATGGCAGTTGGTGGCCAATGCTAAGACATGTTTAGCATGATAAATTTATTAGTAGAAAGGAGTTCATAGTTTTCATTCATAGCCTACTTCCTTCATTTTATAAGTATATATACTCGTATATATGTAGTATATTCATGATTGTTCATATACCTGTCCATTGCTTTGTCTCAGTTCTTAATGAAATTTAATATGAACATGGCACTAGAGACCACTCCACCTTTGGTCTTTTTAATCTCCTGCAGTCAGCAGTACAAACTTGGGAGTCATGCAGATCTCCAAGGTATGGCAGAAGTGCCTCTTAAAGAATCATATAGGGCTTTGAAATGTTGAATGGTAATAAGAGCTTTAAAAATTTTGTAATGTTAATTTTCCTATAAAATGTAAAATAACAGCATGACAGCCATGCAGAATTTGTATTTATCTTTTGATTTTATGGACGTAATTAATGGAGAATGGGAGATGAGTGTACAAAATTTTTTTTATAGGTAGATCATAAACATACCAACAGATTCTTCATGAACCATTTCATATATGCGAACAGTTATAAACAAGGCAAAGATGTTCATCTTTGAGGATGTTTGTGACAAATTTACCTTGGAATTGTGCACAGAAACAGATTACTAAATTATTGATTTATGAGGGGGTACCCAAAAAAACCAAACTTATTTATTCAGATTTTAAGCACAAACCTTCAATCCCCTTCAAAGTACTCCCCACTTACACTAATACACTTGTCTAGTCTTTTATTCCATTTTTCAAAACATTGTCTAAATTCATCTTTTGCGATGCTTGACAGCGCCTCCGTCATTTTTTCCTTCACCTCAGCAACATCAGCAAAATGCTGAAAAAAAGTTTTGATCATTTCGGGACTCTTCTTTCAAAGCACAGCATGCTTCCACGCGACCTTGTTTTTGTTCAGCAGTCAGCAGTCATGGCACGAATTTCGCAGCCACCCTTTTNGAGTTTCTGTTCCACTTTTCCCAAGCAAAAAGCAGAATTTCACCGCCGCACGCTGTTCACGAAAATCAGCCATTTCAAAAACGACGATCACACAAAACAGTTGTCACTATAAACTCTGCCGAAACTAGTCCTTAACTTCTGAAGCAACGGTAGTCGGCTTATCGACTCAGGAATGTTAGCTCTATGTGCTCATAGCGGCAAAACGCGGTACTATAAAAGCTCTGCCCAGAAAAAAAATTAGTTCAGTTTCTTTTGGGTACCCCATCATATGTGAGGATAGTCCATAAAGTATCTGCAAAATATTCATACTGGCCCTGCTGCTGTATGTGCATGCAGTTGTAAGCATGGAACGTCCTGTGTTCTAGTGACATATTTGACTGCCTTTCATCTCTCTTTCACAACTACTGAAGTCAGTGCGGTGCATATGCTGAGGATGAGCAGCATGTAGTGGTTTGATTTTTAGGCGCTAAAGGTGTAAGAAGTGTGGAAATTCATTGGAGATTATCAGCAGAATACAATATCACTGTTTTGTGCAGCAAACTGTATGTAAGTGGAATAACATTAAAAAATGGTCAACCAAATATCACTGATGAACAGTTAGAGCATTTGTCCCTATCAACTACTGCAGAGAACATTGAAGAAATCTGAACACTAATTCTTGACAATAGGAAGGTTGAAGAAAGCAGTCTTCTGGGATTTGGCACCGTGTATATGTGATGTTAACCGCACCGCCGTGAAAGCCTCAAATCTTACAATAGGAAGGTTACTATTGTAGTGACAAAGCAGTTGCAAAGTAGTCATGGTTGTGTCTGTGAAATCATCCACCACAGACTTTACTTCCATAAGTTTGTGCAAGGTGGGATCCAAGACAGCTTGCAGTATACCATAGACATAACTGTCCAGACTTACATAACTGCCTTCTGAAGTGGTATGAGGAATGTGAAGGCTTGTTGGCTCCAATTTTTATGACATGTGGATCTGCCACTACACACCTAGTACAGCTCTTATAATATGGAATGAATACACCTGAATTCACCCATTAAAGTGAAGTTCATATCTCAACCAGCAGTGGGATAGGTTATGCTCACACTTCTGAAATTCACAAAGTCAGATCTTTGAGCATTACTGGGAAAGGGGTATGATGAGATGCCATGTGACAGGCTGATGGTGGCGATTTGGCGTAAACACAGATATCAACTGTTGAAAGGTATTGTGCTATTGCAGGACAATGCATGCCCCCAGACTGGTGCCCACATGTTGAAACACTAGATCAGTTATGTTTTGAGATTTTAGAACATCAACTGTACAGCCATGACCCTGCTCCATCAAATTTTCATGTGTTTGGACTCCTCAGAGGCTCGTTAAGAAGCCGTTATTTTTCGAGCAGCCATGAGCTAAAGGAGGTGTTTACATATCTTGCCACAGAGTTGAAAGCTCATTTTGTTGATGGCATACATAAACTTCTGCAGCACAGGACAGATTATAGCAAGGTGACTGTGTAGAAGAGTGATGTGCTTGTGAATAATGTGTTCCTCTTGTGGTAATTTTAGTAAATATGTTGCATATATGTCTGACTTCTACCATCTTAGTTCTTGCCAACCTCATCATGCAGACTAAAAGCATTTGAAGGAAAGTAGACATAAGTTTTTTCAGAACCACTTCCTTTACTCGTTCACATAAAATTCTTGTAGAATATAAAATAAATGTTGGGCATTTTGTTATCTTTGCAGGATGGTATTGACCTGATGGATGAAGATGTGCTTCAGTTCTATACACGACAGTGGGAGGAATATCAGTTCAGTTCTAAGGTGCTTAATGGTGTCTGTGCTTACCTCAACAGGTGAGGAATAGTAATATTTTCCACCTAATACATTCTTGTTCATATGATGATATGCTTTTCTGGCGTTTTTTGGAATAATAATCTCCAGTAGCTCTTATGCAGTAACCAAATGATGTAAGAGTTGAAGAGACTGAAGTATGTATCAGTTTTTCAAGAGAAGCATTTTTAATAATATTATTATATTATATTTCAGCATCCTGTTGCATTTGGGGCACCATTTTAAATTTTAAAATTTTTGATAATGTAAGATTTTAGAGACTGAAGGTATATGCCATTTTTTCAAGAGAAACATTTTTCCAGTTGAAAATGCCCCTTTTAGTCGTCCCTTAGTGATGACTACTCATCCCCATGCTGAAAGTGGCATTTAAGAACCCGGCAGTGTTAAAGCTGTTTCAGTTCCACAGACATGAAATATGAAGCCCCTGACCACCATTTCAGCTGTTCCAACAATTACATTTAACACCAGTAAATATCTACTTGATTGTAAGTTTTGAGGTTTTCACGGTGATGACAATGAAGAAAGTCATCTTCTGGGTTTAGGCACCGTGTATTCTTCGTTTTGGCCAACGTTTCGGAGGAACGTAGCGCCTCCATCTTCAGAGCAGTTGAATGGCTTTGAATGCGGAGAGCAGTAGATGTAGTGATAGGATGTGAAAGGCGCTGCTTATATATGAAGTAGGCAGGGGGTGGTTGGTTAGGGAGAACGGACCAATGGGAGCAGTAGGGAGCGATTAAGACCATATATGGTGTTGTGTTGACTAAGGGTGGGGGGAACGGCCAGTAAATCCATGATACTTGAGGTCAGTAGCACTAGGAAGTGCGGTAGACAAGAAGAACCGGTAGGTTGGGGACAGGCTATAGACGTCAATGACATGACGAAGAACTGGTGTGGCTAGTTGGATTCTCTGAGTGAAGAGATGCTTCCGTGTCTGTCGAGATAGTGAGAGCGATAAAGGCCATAGATGTAGTGTGCTAAGGTAGGGGGGGGGACGGCCAGTGAATCCTGGAAACTTGAGGTCAATAGAACTAGGAAGTGCGGTAGACAAGAAGAACCGGTGGTTGGGGACAGGCTACTGACGTCAATGACATGACGAAGAACTGGGGTGGCTTGTGGGATTTCTCTTGATGGTAGAGATGAGTGGCTTCCATGGAAGCTCTGATATAATTAAAAACAGTAAAATAAAATTTAATTTTGGCTGAGAAAGTGATCAGAATTTCATTAAATATTTGTGACTGGAAAGATTAAGTTATTTTTACATGTGCAGAAGTGTCAGAGGTTAGAGTGAGTTTTCATTAACATATTTTCAGTTCATCATTCACTTGTCCTTATTTCAGGCATTGGGTCCGAAGAGAGTGTGAAGAAGGCCGTAAAGGAATCTACGAGATATATCAACTTGCCCTGGTGACATGGCGGGATAACTTATTTAAGCAGCTTAATAAACAGGCTAGTATAATTGCTATGACTGGTACTCCTGCTGTAATTTTAATTTCATTTGTAATATTCATTTATATGTTAACCAGTTAAAGGATTTGATCCTGTTAATTTCCTTGGATTTTTTCAAGCATGACTTGCAGACTTGCATGTGGTATGTTCCAGTGACTAAAGATTTATAAACAATAATCTGCTTGGCACTAACTTCGCCAACAAGTGGTGGTCACTCATTCGGTATAGTTCGCTTGCGGATTAAAGCCATAGAGTTGATCTTCTCATCCTAGCTAAGTAAACTAATTCAATAGAATAGAATCCTTCTTGAGGATCTGGTAGTCACTCACGTAGTCAAGAAATTCCCCAGCTTCCATGAAATCTGAAGTATCTTAAGCCAGTTGAGTTCAGGACATATCCTCATATCATATTTTGCGAGATCCATTTTAGTAAAAGAAAGCTTGCTGCCTGTTTGTCTTTTTGTGTATCTCCCCCCCCCCCTTTCTTTTTTTTTTTTTTTTTTTTTTTTGTCGTT